AAGGTTAGATTAGAATGTAGAAACCAAGCAATAGATGGTGGTGAATTCTTTGGGCTTACTTTTTGTCTCATATATCCTACATTGTGTACTGGAGAAGCTAGCAATCCAGACATGCCAAGAGGCATAGATTGTTTTTTAAAAACCTTAAGATTTTTTTCTCTAGTTAAAGGACTGGGAAAGGAACAGCTTCACAAATCATAAAATTTGTAGGCTGTAAGCATTCTACTCCTGCTGAAATACCACAGGAAAACTATGCCTCCAGCCATATCTCCACCAGCAGGTGCTGAGTGGAGAGTTTAGACTTCTACCCTAGCCGAGCTATAATGAGCCTATTTAACTCCCTCTCCTCATTCCTCATTTCATGTCAGAGAAGACAAATTGAAGCCTGGACTTTCATTCTCAAAGGATCTTTCACAAAGCCATCTCCTATTAGTTCCCCCTCCCCTTTGTTGGCAGATGCCACATGTAGAACATATAATTCTACCTACTGGTGGTAACCAGGCACCCTCCCCTTCTCTGTAAGATAGTGTCTGACCAGGCCTAGTGAGAGTAAAAAACTTTTACTTCCAATTGGTAGTAATAAGATGTCCCCAAAACCATCTTACTAAAGTGAAATGCATGTGTTTCCCAAATTCTAATATATATGCCTGTGATTTGCCTTTGTTGTTTCATTCTTTGCTTCAAATACCTTTCCTCCTTTGCCCACTGAACTCCAATCCTTAAGACCCTACTTAAATACTGGTTTTTATTTGAACAGTTTTATCCATAATTAAAATCAAAACCTGGCATGTAACAGTTAAGGCCTGGGCCATATGTTGAGTAAGGGCTTTAAACTGGAGGGCTAAGTTTATGGTCCTTGTTCCTGCTCAGATGCTATTTCTTCTTATATGAAGCAGTCAGTACTTTTGTTCAGACATTATTTTTAGCAACCATTGTAATGCCTGGTCTAAAATACCAGGCCCTGATCTCTGGTGTTCTAGGGTTTTTATATGATGCACAAGCAGGAGGTACAAAGGTGAGACCGAACAGCCTGGCAGTTCTTCTGATTAGCTATCAGGGTGAGATCATTGGTTACAAGAGTAGATTAATGATCATCCGTTCATGAAGCTTGGTACAATGGTACCATCAGGAATCCTGCATGTTTGGTGATGCTCTTGTGGTTACAGGGGTCAAGAAAATAATTACAAAGCCATGAGGCAGTTATAGAGCTAGGCAGTTTCAAAAGAAAAAAAGTTTTAAGAAGAAGAACAATTTCTCTTGCAGTTTTGCCCTTTGAAAGCCACCTGCCCCACCTTTTTACGATGATGGGGCGGAATTTGTCTATCACTTTCAAGGCTTGCAAGACATTCCTGCGCTCAAAACAGACTGTTTTCTAGTCCTCTGTAGCCTTCCAAGCTGCCAAAAAGGCAGCTACAAGTAGCCATGGCAAAGCCCAGGTCGTTTATCAGCTATTCTCTGGCTCTCCCCTGCCTTGAGGTGGGATCACTCACCTCAACATCCTACTGACTACGCCAGTTGGCCCACTGGCAGGAGGCAAGGGAGATTTTAAGGGGTGAGGTACCCAGGTTAAAGAATGCACATATGCAAGACATCAACAACAGCAGGCAACATGGAGCAGAGCTGAGCACAAGAGCAAAAGAGCCACCTACATCTTTATTGTATAATTCTTATATAGGTTTTCTTTCTTTCTTTTTTTTTTTTTTTTTGAGACAGGGTCTCGCTATGCAGTTCAGGCTGGCCTTGAGCTCACTTATGTAGCATAGTCTAGTCTTGAACTCGCGATGATCCTCCTGCCTCAGCCTCCTGAGTGCTGGGATTACAGGCATGCACCACCAATAGGTTTTCATCTCATGTTTACATTCTTACATAATTCTATAATCAGTGCATGCATACTTATCTATGTTAAGTCATGGTTACAAAACTGTATCCTACTGTGCATTTGCACTAGACAGCAGGGTCACATCTGCAGGTGTTCTTAGATGCCACCTGAGCTTTGAAGCAGTTTGAATGTTCGCCACAGTTTCCCTCACTAAATTTTAAATTTTAAAGGGCAAATTACTCATCTGCTCTCTAGAGTTTGGCATACAGCTACAGTGAATACCCAATAATGAACAAATGAACGTCAATATATGTAAATTCTTTAATGCTTAACTGAAATCATTTTTAGAAGGAGAGAAAAGAAATATTTAGCTTTTAGAATTACTTTCATGCTGTACAACATAGATGTTTTATAGTGATCACCAAAGACCTGTTTTTACAAAGTGGGCAGGGAACGGATAGGTTGCTCTATGTAGTTTGTTTTCTGATTAACCCCTTTCGTTTTTAATTCTTCTTTTGTCTTTTGTTTTGTACTGGAGACTGAACCCAGAGTCTCATACAAGCTTAGACAATCACTCTACCACTAAGCCCATTAAACTGTATCTCCGCTGCCTTTTGAGACAAGGTTTCAGTAAGTTGCCCAGGCCAGCTTTGATTTTGGGATCCTTCTGTTTTAACCTCCAGAGTAGCTGGGATCACAAGGTGTGCACCACTATGTCCAGCTCATTTTGGTTTTAAAATTGAATATTGTCTGTCCAAGAAAGACAACTGCATTATGTTGATAAAGTTGGAAAATTACATGTTTTAGACTCAGACCTAAATTTAAATCTTGGTTTGATTGTTGCAGTTTGTGTTTTCCAAGATGGACAGTATCCCTGGCATACCCTGCTCAAACTGCTAGATTCATGAGTAAAAATAAACTTTGTTGTTTTCACTCAGAAAGTTTTGATTCATTATATAGCAACTGATCACTAGATGAAAATTTGGTATTAGAAGTGAGATGTTATTAAAAAAAAATCTAAGATATGCTTGGGACCTAATGTTATTAGACTGCTAGTGAGAACCTAAATGGCTTCAGAGACTGTCAGTAGAAGCCAGATGTCCCTATAGAAAGCTATATATAAGGGTTTAAAGAAGAGTAATAAGTAAAATCATTGGATGCTGGAGGAATGTAGATCTTTATTATATGATGGAAAACATTTTAGCAACATTGTCACCCGTGGTAACATGGAAATGGAAAATGTACCTAATAATCTAGATAATCTCATTGATGATCTTTCTAAGCAGGGTGCTAAAAGTGCTATGTGGTTTCTTGTAGCTGCCTATAATGAAGGAGAGAGAGAGAGAGAGAGAGGGAGGAGAGAGAGAGAGAGAAAGCTGTTAAGGGTAAAGGAATCAGGATATGTTAATTTTCATTAATTCCTAGCTTTTCCTGATGGCAAAGATGCTAAGATGATTAAGAAATGGCTTCTAGGAAGAGTTTAAACATAGGGTACTATCAGGAAAATATGGTCTAAAGAAGTCAAGTCCATGTTTGTAAGTGTAAAACCTCAGTTTATGGTAGTGCTTCAGGTAGACAAAAATCTTCCCTAAGATCTTCAGGTATGCCTTGAAGATCTTTAAGAGCAGAATTCCCATAACTGTTAAGCTCAGCGCTCCACAGCTGAAGACCAAATAGTGAACACTTTATCTGGATGAGATTTGCTGGTGTACTTTTTGACTAGTAGGGTACATAAATTCCAATAAGATTCATTAGAAACCTACACAAGTTTTAAAAGAATTATAGTGTGACAGTTAACTGATTGTGTCAGCTTGAGTAAGAAACTCCCAACTAAATTGGGCCAGCATAGTTCTGGGTGTGGCTGAAGGGATTTGTTGAAAACAGCAGACCTACCTGGTTGTAAATAGCACCAACCAACAGGCTTGTTGCCTAAATGGAATAAAAGGGAAATAAAGAATGAAGGTTCACTCTGTTTCTTCTGAGGAGCTCCAGTCTTCATCTTCATCTTGGATGTCATCTCCTGGCTTCCAGGGCAGACTCTCAGCTTTCCAGCAGAGAGGTTTTAGCCTTCCAGCACAGACCCTTCAGGCTTCCATCCCAGAACCTTTGGCCTTTTTATGTGGACTTTCAAGGGACTCTGTTGTGAGTTCTAGGCCTTCAAATTTCAACTGGATCCTTTGGGTTTTTTTTTTTTTTTTTGTCTTTTTGAGACAGGGTCTCGCTATGCAGGTCAGGCTGGCCTTAAGCTCACTTTGCAGCCTAGCCTGGCCTCGAACTCGCAACGATCCTCCTGCCTCAGCCTCCCGAGTGCCGGAATTACAGGCGTGCGCCACCACGCCCGGCATCAACTGGATCCTTTGAATCCCCAGTGTACAGATGTCCCTTTTGCACTCTTCTGCACCTGACTCTGTGGGCCACCATTGGAAGCCTATTTTGAAAATCTTTATATACTCATGTATCTTGCATTAAATATATTTCTCTAGTTAGCACGGACTGATATATGTATCAATCAATATAAATAAAAGCTTAAGTTAAAAGAAGCAACATATTTAAAAATGAAAATAGCTGAGCTTCTATGAGCAGGAAGCAGGGTGAAAATTTACTTGGCCTCAAACATCAGCCATTTTTTTTAATGGAAAAAAATGATTCAGAAAGCAGAGCTTAGAAAATCCTGAAGGCAGAGTTAAGAGGTGCAGAGATTCATGCCTAAGGCATGAGATGGAGCCCTAATCATAGAAACAGCATCAGAATTGTTATGGCCCAGTGAGTCTGCTGTGCCTCCTATGTTTTCCTTTTGAATAAGCTCTATAGGGTTATTCTATGCCTGTGTTACCTTAGTTGTTGGGTGTGTGGGGAAGAGATAATTTGTGTCTTTAGTTCCCTATTCCTCAAATTGAGAGAATGCACCAGAGGAGCTTCACACATACCTGGACCTAATTTAGCTGATGAAATCCTGGACCTTATGCCCAACCATGTTGACATAATGGAAGAGGCTTGGGGGAGGGGTATCTTGAGTGGAAGAATGCCTTGCTTGTGGGAGGGATATGAACTATTGTTGACTGTGGCAGGTGATATTTTCTAAAAATGGCTGTAATAATTTCTGGTCCCAGATGATGTTCTAGAATTCTATCAAATTTATCAAGAGATTGAATCTATTTCTCTTTTCCTTAAACTTAGGTAGGCTAGTGACTGTTCTGATCAAGAATGTGGTAGAAATAATGCTACACGACTTCCACAGTTTCATCATAAAAATGATAATGTTCTGTCATTTTTCTCTTGCCTTGGAATCTGGCCACCTGTTCTAAGAAACCTACATCACATGAAGATCTACATAACAATTTGCAGCTGACAACCCATCAGACTTCAGGCAACAGCCAACATTAACTGCTGATCATATGAATAAATAAGCCCTCAGATGATTCCAGACTTCACTCAACCTTCAGACTTCACTGGATAACATAAAAAAAGAGTACAGATGATTTGCTCCCCCTAAGCCCAATGCAAACTGGAGATTTGTGAGCAAGAGAAATAATTTCAGCCATGGCAATGATTTGTTTTGCAACTATGGGTAGCCAGAATTCATTAGTATCTGTGTGTTCTTGAAAAGCATCTTCTGGAGATATCAGACTTTGGATAAAATATTTTTTCGGCCGGGCTTGGCTTCCTCCACCTTAAAATGAAACAATAATTATTATATGATGGGAATGTTCTGAGGTTTTAATGAGAAGATGCATACAGGGTGTTCTTCTTATAATGAGTCTTCAATAAATGCTATTTAATATTATTTCAACTTACCCCCATGAAGTTGTTACGGTTTTTCTGCTTTGTACAAATTCCCCTTCAAGGGCTGTGTGCTATAAACCTTTAAACACACATCTATAAAGTTTGATGCTCTCTCCTCATTCTCTCACATTGTAGCTTTTACAGTGTTCTTTTTTAGATCACTTACTATGGGGCAAGCCAGGTTATCACATCCTGAAGATGCTTAGCCATCCAGGGAGGTGCACACCGTGAGAAGCTGAGACCATTTTCCTTACTAACTTGCCAACCATGAGAGTGAGCTATCTTGTAAACTGATCCTCCAGCCTGTCAGCCTTGAGATGTCTGTAAACGCTTGAGAGACCTTGAGCAAAAATCAACCCACTAAGCCATTTTTGATTCCAACATAAACTGTAAAAATTATATGAAACTTTTTTAAAAAACACCTCTTTTTTTTTCTTTGTTTTAAGCCACTAAAGTTTGGGCTAACTTATTATGTAGTAATGGTTAACTAAGGCTTTATCACCATGGGGAGGGCTTGAGAGAGAAAATGATACAAGCATGAGGACTGTTTTAGGGTTGATGTGAAGGACAGAGATGGTTGAGTGGACTTGTAAGTGTGAAGACTGGGTTTGAAATAAATGATGTGAGCCCAGGCTAGAATGGGAAGAAAGTAAATCCTGTTTAGAGGAACAGACTTGGAAAATTGGGAACCCTATAAGCCTACAGATGTCCTGAAGTTGAAGAACAGGCTGGGTGAAGGGAAAGGAGTTAAGACATATGGAATAACAAAGTTTTGTTTTACATGTGGGGTACCTTGGCTACTGATTTTAGTAGAACAGTCCATGAGAATAAAGCACAGAAGTGGGTGGATGAATAGAAGCTGTGAAGAAAGGTTTTTATATTGATGAGTGCAAGGGCAGAGTATACAATGGAGCAACCTAAGCTGATGACAGCAAACTCAAAGATCTCCCTAGGAGTGATGAAACGGAGTTTGTATGGCTTAATGTGAGAGACTCAGTACAGGGGTAGTTGGTCTGGTAGCTATAGTGATGTTAGCAGAATGCCAATTTTTACTTCTGACTTGAGATATAGAAGCGTGGGAGAGGAGAAAGAACTCTCAAAGGGACTTTACAGGAAGCAGTGAAATTAAGGAAAATGCCACACTTTACACAAGACAAAGAGATGGCAGCAGTGCTCTAGGGAAAAGTTACGTAGGTAACTAGCATAGGTTTGCTTGAAAAAAAGCTGATATTGCATTCTGCTCGCAATTGGAAGCCAATGTTTAAGAAAATTGCTATGATGAGCCTTGATAGCTCATTTTGACAGTAGTGACAAATATGGTGGGTATATTGGGCAAAAGGTGATTGAGGTTCTTCTGGAGGAAAGAGGTTTGTACAAAGGCCCATTCCAGAGGTGCTAAGGCCCTATCACTCACCAATACAATAAAGCCAGCTATTTGGTAGGTAGAAACTATAAAATTCCAGGGAAGGTGAGGAAGCTGTTGACAAGGCAGTGGATAGATCTTTCACCTCTTTTCTAAAGCCATTCTAGATTGTTCTGAAGTGTTTCTGATACTCCTTTGTGCCTGAGCATGTAATTATCAGTTATTTCCAATTTCCTTTCCTTTTTTCTCTCCTATCCTGAAAATCCACTTTTTTTTCAATATCCAGTGAATATTTTATTTTTTATTTTTTACTTTTTAATTTTTTTTGTCATTTCTTTCTGATACCAGGAACTGAACTTACGACGTTGCGCTTGCCAGGCAGGCGCTGTGCCACTGAGCTAAATCCCCAGCCCTCCAGTGAATATTTTAAAAAATTTATTATGGTAAAAGGCACATTGCTATTAATTCCCCTCAAGATACCTCCCCCAACACACTTATCCCATTGTTCTTGTCTCAGATCTTCTCATCTTGACCTACTATTTAATATTCTACTTACATAGATTTTAGTCTGGTTAGTCCCATTTTTAATACATACATTAGCCACATCAGTATAGTAATAAACCTCTTAAAGATAAGAAACTAGACAGTGTGGTATAGCAGAAAAAAAATACCATTTGAAAGATCCAACCCCAGTTTTTTTTTTTTTTTCCTTTGGATCTTTTTGAGACAGGGTTTCACTATGCAGTTCAGGCTGGCCTTGAGCTCACTTTGTAGCCCAGGCTGATCTCGAACTCGCAATGATCCTCCTGCCTCATCCTCCCAAGTGCTAGGATTACAGGCCCGCGCCACCATGGCTCCAACCCCAGTTCTGATACGAAATTTCCATATGATTTTCGATAAATCCCTTGACTTCTTCAGACCCTGAGATTTTATTAGTGTGAAATGAGTCCCTAAGGTCTTATCCATTTCAATTTGCCTATGTAATATCATGGTAGCTTAACAGATACTTTCATGATGACAATGATGTCTACCTTTCCAAAATAGCCACATAATATAAGAATGGTAGATGATAGGCATTTTGAAGAATTTAAGACTAAGGTGTTTAGTTAATAGAGGAATAACATTAGATAGGCATTATGTTACCATTTATTTTCCCGGAGTAGAGGATAATCATTTATGTCTAGTAGGATAATAAATCTAGCTTTTCTCCTTTGGAAGTTAAGTGTGGGGTGACTTTCATTTATCTCACATTTCCTGGAAAGTGAGTTCATTTGAAATCATGGTTTTGCTACTTAGCCTGTTATCTTGCTTTGCTTTTTTTTTTTGGTTTTCATTTTTTTCTGATACCAGGAATAGATCTCACAACCTTGCGCTTGCCAGGCAGGTGCTGTGCTGCTGAGCTAAATCCCCAGCTCCTTAGCCTGTTATCTTGGGAAGCTGTTTTTCTCTCTGCCTTACTTTCTTCATTCATAAAACAGGGCTAATATAAGATTATTGTAGGGAACAATCCAAAGTATGCAACTGCATTTTGAACAAGTGAAAACTCTGGATAAGTCAGCATTATTATGTACTAAGCACAAGAGTGAGCAGACCTGATTCGTTCCTCTCCTTAAAGAGCTCATGGTTAGGAATTTTTAAACAAATGACTATACAGTATCTCAGTGTTTCAAGTTCTGTAACAAGTTCTGTCAATATGTGGCATAGGAGCAGAGAGGGAATGGAATAGAGGTAGGATATGCTTCTTGAGGATAGTTTGAGTCTGATGCATATGAAGAGAATACACCATTAGGAACATTTGGGGTAATGAAGCAGCCAGAGGCAGCATGGGGAAGGTAGTTTCTGGCTGGGAAAAAAAAAATGGTTAGGAGAAAAACACCATCATCACTTAATACCAGATTTAAGGCTTATCCCAGACATACACAATCAAAATTTGTATTTTAATGGGATCCTCAAGTGGTTCCTACGGAACATTAAACTGTGAGAACTACTAAGCTATAGGATAGACTCTGGAGCCAAACTGCTTAGATTCAGATCCTGGCTTTACCATTTACTTATGTGTGACCTTAGGCAACCTATTAAACTTCTTATGCCTCAGTTGCCTTGTTTGTAATTAGGGATAATAATAGTTTCTACCTCCTAAAGTGGTTTTAAGGACTGAGTTATTATGTGAAATGCTTAAAACACTACTTGGCACCTAGTAAATACAAGATTAACTATGGTAATTCATCATATTTCTTATGGTAGGAGTCAGTTTTTATAAGCCGTCTTTTCATTTCTACTCTATTATTTGTCATTCTGATATTCCTTGTAAAGGACACTTGATGGTCAGAAGACCAGAGGTTATATAACCCAGCTATATGACACTGGGTGAGTTACTGAACATCTGGGTTTTGCTTTCATAGTATGGGGGACCTTAATTATATGTGGCTCATCAAGATAGTGCAAAGCTCAAATTAAATAATGTATGTTATTACAAAATCTTCTATTAAGATTTCATTTTCTATTTTAACACGTTCTTAAGCAACTGGCCTCAAGATAGGATGCACTGGAAGATCAAGGAGGGCAGGCAGGAAACTTAAATACCATTATTTTCTCTTCCAAACCTACAGCGCTGTTCCAGAACATGAACATAATCAGTGATTTATATAATGGTTCCTGACTTACAAAGGACTTTTTTCTACGTTGTGTACCACAACATCTCCATAGGATATATTATTCCTTAACAGGGTAGTATTTTTCTTTTCTTTGAGGGCCTCGGGATAGAAACCAAGGCCTCAGGCATGCTCCAGTCCTCTTTGAAGAAGGAAACTACATCTGGTAATAGAATGTACATCAAAACCTCCTTTGGCTCGAGAATTACTAATAAAAGGAAATTTGGAGGGAGGTCAAACACAAAATCTGATGGAATCTTCAACATTAGGCACTACCTTTGAATCCTAATATATAGGGCCCCTTCTCTGAAAGATAAGAGCGACAAGACCTGCACAACATTGTGCGATTAAACAAGAACAAAGGCTGAGGGTGAGCCTACCACGCCGTAGTGCCTCAAATAAATCCCTTCCTCTTGCCTTTGGCAGACATAGCACGAGCTATCACCGTCATCTGCACTTCACATGTGCAGGAACCCGAAGTTGAGAACGCTAAGGTTCTCTTTCTCCATTTGAAACTCCGTAATCCCGAGTTCAGGTATGGGTAACTCCATTGTCAATTCTCGGGGTGTATTATTTCTCTTCTAGTTGTTGTTTGAGTGGTTGCAGACCGTTGATAACGGCCGCTACAACTTTGACGAATCCGATCCTACGCCGTAAGTGCGCTTCAGCGACAAGCCGGACTTTTTCTATTCCTAACCTCACTGGAATAAAGGTCGCCGCGAAATGCAAACTCCAGCTGCTGCCGCCATTTTGGCCGCGACGTGCGACGCTACGCGTAGCAGAGAGCACCGCTGATTGGCTAGGGCACGGCAGCAGGGGAGAGGCGCGCGAAGCCAGAAACCAGAGTATGCTGGAGAAGCCAAAGGAACTACAATCCCAGCCTTCCTTGCGCGTGCGACAGCAAACCTGAAGTGAAAGACGGCGGTTTGCGTTGGACTACAACTCCTAGCAGCCCCATGCGATACCGGCCCTTTCCTTTCAAAAAGCGTAAGAAAAGGACAGGATGAACCGCGGGACTTTGGTGCCCGTTCTTCGAAAGGCGGGAAAGGCGAACTACACCTCCCGATTGGCAACGCGCGCCTGCGGCTGCGCTCTGGTACCTGTCGCCATCTTGCCCCTTCTGAGGCACCGCAAACAAACCCTATTCCTGGTGTCCCCTAGTCTTGGCGGAGGAGCCTTTTAGATGAGCCCCGAAAGGCCGGGCAGGTGGGTGACTCTCCGGCGGGTCCTGGGAAGAGCTGGCAGACACCCAGCGCAGAGGAGCCCCGGGCCAGGCACTTGGAGCTCAGGTTGGGGCGCCCAGCCCCATCCTCCGTTGTTTCCTAACGGTATCGTGGGTCTCCCGGAGGTGGCCGGAGGGGGACTCTGGCAGGCCTGGCGCCGGGATGCCGGGGCTGCAGCACTAGGAGCTCTCAGTGAGTCCCGGCAGTCCGACAGGCTGTCCGCGCGCCTACTCTTTTCCGTTGTCCTCTCCGCGGGGAAGGGAGCGAGGCGCAGATGCCGGCCGGGGGCCCCTGACACCGGCTGCCGGCCGGCGGGGCTCAGGTCGCGGGCTTGGCATTGGGATCCGCGCTGAGGCGCGGGCGAGGAGCCTGGGCTGGTTGCTCTAGTGCTGCGGGCGAGTGCGTGTTAGGAGAGGGGGCGGGGCGGGCTTGTTTCCTTGACACTTGAGCCGGGAAGGATCCCACGAGATCCTGGGGCCCCAACCGGCCCCGGCAGCTATTGCCGGCGTTTCGGATGCGAGGCAGCCCCGCGGTAGGGTCCGCTGGCCAGGACGCGTTGGGATGCAGTGACGTGGTGCTAGATTCAGGCGGTCGAGCCGCCTCCAAGATCCTGTCCGGAGGCGGGGACAAGCTTGTGGAGGGAGCGGATTTCTTTGGCTCTGCCCCTTTTCCTCCTCCCCAACCCTTTAAGTCAGCTTGTCAGCTGCGCCGCTGAGTCCAGTTCTGCTAGCGCCGAGTTGGTTCTGAACTGAGGATGGTGGGAAGTAGGGGGAGGGGATTGAATTGGGGGCGTAGAGTTGGAGTTGGCAGCCCAGCCACTGGAACCGGATATAGCAGTTATTTCGGTTCAGTGATTCCTAGGCTAGACAGTGAGTTGACTCATTCATTCATTTTACTTTCTCCCGCCAACCATTCATTTATCCATTTAACAAATGTTTACCGAGGGTCTGCTGTACGCAGAGCAGGTATTGTGTAAGCCCCAAGCGCTTTTTGTCCTCTAGACTAAGGCGGTGTCCCCCTACGAAGTAAGTGCTTGGCATTTAAACTTTTGGTAAACAGTAGTTTAATGACTACGAGGTCTAAATTCATATTTCATTGTTAAGACTTAAGGAGAGCATTCTTTATTATTGGATTTCATTAGCACAGTATGTTAGAAACTGTAAGTGAGGAAGCCGACAGAAGTCACTTGCCCAAGCTTATATAGGTAGTAGTTTGTATTTATTAAATTGCATACCAGTCTTCATGAAAAACTTGGTATGTTTTGTTCATTAACACACAACAAACTGAATAGTAATACCTTGGTAGTAATACATGGGTAAAGCCGGTTCAGAGTGTCTAGTTCAGCGAGGATCATACTACCATTACGTTGAAAAGCTGGAACTAGAACCTAGAGGTGTCTGTCTGACTCTAAACCCTGTGCTCTTTCCACTGTTACTGACTGGTATAATAAACTCTCAAATGCTGCTTTAATTCTTTATCAGAAGTTGGAAACTGTGGTGATGAAAAATGATCGTGGGGTATCTTATTGGTTTCACTTCTTAGCCTGTGGATGGATCTCCAGGTGAGTGGCCTTTGAAGTACTTTGGTAAATTGGTTGTTTTTCTTCTGGTAGGGAGGACAAGCTCTTTGGGGCTACCAAACGTAAGCAGCAATGCCTGTGGTGTGGCCAACCCTTTTGGATCTCAGCAGAGATGAATGCAAAAGGATTCTTCGAAAACTGGGTATGGTTTTAATTATTAGTGTTTTTTGTCTTTGATGTTTTTCTTTTCTGTTTGGGGTATAGTTGTTTATCTCAGTGTCATCTTATGCTATATTAGAAACTCTTTGGAAATATAGTCACCATCATTCTCATTGTTGTTTCCCCAGTGTCTGTTGTGGTGATTTGTACATAAGAGGCGCACAAATCATCATAATACAAGTAGCTAAGACTCGTTGATAGTTCCTTGACTATTTTGAGTCTCTTATATTCAACATCTCACTTAGTCTTCACTCAAACCTAAAAGGTGGGCTGTTTTATGCTTTTTTTTTTTTTGGCCTCCATTTTACAGATGAAGTTTAAAACCTAGGATAATGCTGACACTAAAGTCAGTATTTGACTTGAATGATTTTCAATCTCACGTTAGCGTACTTTTAACCTGCATAAATGTATATGTGAATTACATATACATACTTCTGAATTCTAAGTTAATACAAGCTGTACCTACTTCCCCAAATTATATTTTACTATTAGTAATAAAACATATTTTATGCTTATTAATTACCATTTAGTGCTTTTCCGTTACAGCAACCTTTCTTAACCAGCATTTTAGGGAGAGAATTAAGCCCTAATGTCAAGGTATCCGTTGCATGTAATGAACTAACTTCTATTTTGCATCTAGAATGGTACTAGTTATGTGCCATCCCAAGAAAATTGAGAAGAGTTACTCAAATTATTTTCCATATTTGGTTCAAATGAAGATCTGTGGTTGAGAAATGCTATCTTAGACTATAGGGAGCTTTTCTTCTTACTGCTGTAGCTTCAAATTAGCGCAATAGATGAAATAAATGCAAAAAAAAATTGAAAATAAGCAGTAAATGTTTAAGCAGTGAATATGAATTATTTAAATAAAAGCCTATCATAATGCCTGGCTTCTGACTGTAGTATTTAAAGAGCTGCAAAAAATGCTTCAAAGGTAATATTTGTTGGGAATTCCTATATGTAGATCAGATAAAATTAGGGCTACTCAGGTCTGCTAGTAACGTTTGCCCTTTTTTAGTTCCCCTCATGCCACTATGAGGATTTCAAACCAATTCGTGGAATTTATTTTTACAGTATTTGTGATAGAACCCAGGGATACTCTACCATTGAGCTATATCCCTAGTCCTTTTTTCATTTTTTATTTTGAGACAGCGTATGTCCAGACTAGGCTCAAAGTTAGGATCCTCCTAAGTAGCTAGGGTTACAGACATGCCTCACTGGACCTGGATTTAACGTTATTTTAGCAAGTTGAAGAGAAATGTTTTTGGTGGGAAGTGTTTATTATTCATCTATATATTTTTTTAATCTTACATACAGACTTCTTTTTTTGTTGGTTTGTTTTTCTCTGGTACCGGGAATCGAATTCACGACCTTGTACTTGCCAGGCAGGCGCTGTGCCACTGAGCTAAATCCCCAGCCCCGTAGACTTCTAATATTAATTTGAAAATAGTTTTCTACACACTTGTGCAGTTAGTTTTTCTTTTCTTTTTTTTGTCTTTTTGAGACAGGGTCTCCCTATGCCGCTCAGGCTGGCCTTGAGCTCACTTTGTAGGCCAGGCTGGTCTCACAACAATCCTCCTGCCTCAGCCTCCCACGTGCTGGGATTATAGGCGTGCGCTACCACACCCTGCCTCTTGTGCAATTAATATAACTTGCTGTCAATTGTAAAATTGGACTCATTTATTTTATAGCTGAGCTAATTGCAGAGGAACAGATCACAAAGACAATAGATTGGATTGGGGCTTCTGGGTTTTGGAGGCTTTGAATCAAGAGATTATGTTTAAAAATAAAAATGATAACCTTTACCTCCAAATTTATCCTTAGTTCTTCCCATATGTGGCCTGAAATGATAAATGGGAATGGTTTGGTATTCGCTCAACCCAGAAAACCCCGCAAAAGTTATGCAGATCAAAAGGCTAATATCTTTGTGCTCACTAAAAGAAAGAATACTCCTGAAACTCCCCAGGACTATGTGTTTCTGAAAAGCCACCCAGTATCAAAAAGATACCACTTTGCAGAAGCAGTATGTACCATTGTGTTACAATGGTGGAGTTAGTGGGTATGCCTAGACAAAACAATGGTGCTGGACACAGCGTTAGTGGCCCAAAAGGAATGCTGAATTATTGTTACACCTGCTTTAAAATGCAGAGTAAGGCTAAATTTTTGAGTTTAGATGTACATTCTCTCATTGAGCGTATCAGGTGAACGAGCCACCCAAGATGTGCTCTGGTACTTATAGAACTCGGAGTGAGATTGCCCATAGGTGAGCTCCCCCCCCCCACCCCCCTCCGCACCCCACCTGGGGATGATCCTTCCTGAAAAGGAGCAAACTATTTCTAAACCAGAAGAGAAGACTGCACAGAAGAAAAAAGTGTCACAGATGAACAAAAACCTAGGGCACAGCAATAAAATTCACCATGGAATAAATGGAAATAAAAATGAAAAATATTAAATTTATCTCTAATTTTAGTAAGAGCTGTGTGAATAATGCTGCTGGAGAGTTGCTTCTATACAAAAAAGAAAACAGCTATCCTACAGGGTAATGTCTTGACACTCTGAGACCTTGATAGTGATTTACCCAAGACTTCCTTCCCACCTGTTGGCTCATTATCATAACAGTGAACTTGGAATTGCCTTCAAATACTAACTCCAGGCCCTAAGTTTAGAAAAGATAATGTATTGAAGAATTAGTTTTGTCATTTTAAAGATACTTATAAGTTATGTTAATGTGAAATACTGAACAGATTTTACTTAATTATAAAGAAATTGGGATAATATCTTTATGATATACTGAATGTACCACTGATAGGGAAATGCCTTTTAACTTTGTGTTCCCCTCCCCCCTTGAACCCAGCGCCTGGGTCTTGAGCTGCATCCCCAGCCTGTTTTGAGTTTTGGTCTTTCTTTCACTAAGTTGCCCAGGCTTGGCTTGAATTTACAATCTTTCTGCTTCAGCCTTTCAGAGTGCAGGGATTACAGGGTGTCTTAGTTACTTTTCTCATCGCTGGGACAAAATACCTGATGCTAAAACTTAAAGGAAGGCAGGTTTATTTTGTTGTCTTTGTTGAAGTTTCAATTTTTGTGTGGTCTACAGCATGGTGGAAGAGCCTGGGTGGAGGAAAGCTGCTTGCCTCATGGTAGTCAGAAAGCAGAGAGAGGAGGAACAGGGGAGGGAGATACACCCTTCCAGGCCATTCCCCCAGTGACTTGCCATTTCTGACTAGGTCCCACTTTCTAACATCACATTTAGCTGTATTGTTCTTATGAGTCAATCAGCTTTCAAATGCCCAGGCTGTGAGTACATGAGGCGTTGTGGGAAAACCTAGATATAAACTATTAACATAGGCCTTGCCCAATTTTATGACTACATGTAACTACATAACCCTAGCCAATGTGAGGTTTTATGTACTGTAGTATAATTGAATGGCTGATTTGTTTAAATGGAATGATGTAAGGGTTTTTAAAAAAATGGTTTAGAAAAAAAATGGTTTGGCAAATTTTTTATTTCTGTGTCCTCTTTTTTCTTCATCCTTTCCACTTTCCTTCCTTCCCTCCTTTCTTCCTTTCTTGTGGCAGTGGGGATTGAACCCATGTCCTTCACACTAAGCCATACCCCATCCCTTTTTCATTTTTTGAGACAAGGTGTTGCTAAGTTGTCAGGTTGGGCTCACACTTGCATCCTCCTGCCTCATTTTCCTGAAATGCTCAGATTACAGGTGTGTGACACCAAGCCCAGCTAAATCTTCTGTTTTCTGAGATGTTCACATATGTTTACTTCATTATACTTACATGTTATTGGAGTTAACACTATACTGGAATGGCACCAAACATGATACCAGAAATTCAACCAAGTTTAAGACATATTGTGAAGCTGTGTATGGTGGCACATGCCTGCAATCCCAGCACTTGGGAAACTGAGGCAAGGGTATTGCAAGTTTGAGTCCCTCTTGGGCAAATAAGTAGGCCCTGTCTCAAAATTTAAAAAACGTAGAGCTGGAATGTAGTTCAGTGGTAGTGTGCCCCATGATTTGATCTTTAGTACTGAAGAAAATCAAGATTTGAGGATACCCATAAAAATGGTTGACTTTTGTTCCTAGAAATATTTCTGTGGCACTTTGTAGTAGTAGTATTGTAGTAGTAATGTAGTAGTAGTAGTAGTAATATTTTATGAGTAGTTTGATTTGTGTTAGTAACTATATAGACATTTTGTTTCCCTTAGTATAAAATTCTCAAATATAGTCACTGACTGGAAGTTACTGAAATAATGAGACACTGTCTGCTGTTTTACTCTCTTTTACTCTCCTTTTCCACGTTTGCGTTCATCCCCATGCCCGCCTGGAGCATAGGTTTTTTTTTTCCTAATTAAGGCTTGTTTCCGGACTAGGTGATACGTTTCTCCTCTGTTCATTTATTGTTGTGTGTAAATTTCATCTAATTTCTTGAGGATTTACTACACAGTAACTGTATTCTACGGTTGACTTCTTGAGGGCATGACCTAACACACTATCTAGTATATATGTAATAGGACTCAGTATTGATTTGTTAAATGAAATAGTCTATAAATATTTAGAGTATAGTTAATTCTTATTAGGTCATTTTTGGTGCCTATCTCTACTCTGGGTCTGATAAAAGCTGAAATAATGTTTCCTAAAACTAAGTTTTTTCTTCATGTCTCCTAGAATTAAGTATTTCCTTTACTATCCAGAGCAGCAGAGCTTGTCTTTCAGGAGAAATTCTGTGAAATGTCTATAAAGTATCCAGTACAGCTTGAACATGCAGGATATATACTTCAGGTCATTCATTTGGACCAGACATTTCTATTTAATGTAGTCTTCCCACTCTTCTATATAAAGCTTCCTTTTGATAGACTTGTCAATAATATGAACTAAATGAGACTACTAGTCTATTACTGGTAAATACCTCGTCTGCAGTCATGCACCTGTTTGGCTTGTATTTAGTGTGTTTTATGTCACACGTTGGCAAATAGTGAATACTTGTAGCATCTTGAGTATGAAGATAATTCTAGTCTGGACATATATTCCCTATCATTCTTTTTGTTTATATATACCTGTTTCAAAGTATTAATGACTTAAAGCATCTGTTTCATCATTTCTTTCTATTATATAGGTTGTTGGTGTTGTCTGAGATCGCTCTTGTGTCTCTTTGAAGTTGGTAGTTTAGCTGAGATGACTGGGCCTCTCTCTTCCTACGGCCTTTCATTCTGGGCTGCTTGGGGCTTGGTATCTTTAAGGGAGCAAGGCCCCAAGTTCAAGTTTTTAGCAAGTATTTGCATGCATTTTCCAGTATTCCATTGGCCAAAAGCAAGTTACATGTCTGGTCCACAGTCTATGGGAGAGATGTACACAAGCTACAGTGGTAGGCATGTATGTTTTACTGGAGGCTGTTGAGGCCTTACAGTTTTGTATTTTAACCAGTACCAGGGACTGACAGATTCATTTTGTAATGGTTTGTTTCCATGGAAAGAGTGAAATAAAGCTGTCTGGTATTAAGACTCACTGTATTATGTCCTAGTTGCTTTAAGAACATTTCATGTTTTCTAATTAGTCATTTTGATGATAGTTTTGTAGATACAGAGGATCTTATATCTGGAAAGTACCTACAAGGTTCTTTTTAGATAAGGAAACAAGTTCACAAATAAGAAAGGACTTGTCTAAAGTCACATAACTAGTAAATAGCAGTGATGGAGCCAAAATTTTTTTTATTTTAGCCATTGCAAATAGGTATTTTATTTTATTTTATTTTATTTTATTTT